AGCTACTTTTAAAATCAGATTAAGTTAAGGTAGGATAGGTGTACCTGTACAATAAACGATGACATCCATTTTTCGCATGTCATCAATTTATTTTAATGACAGAGTTTTTGGCAGTTTTATTTTGCTCTTTAATTTCTAATTTTATAAACAAAGATTTTTCAAAAGGTCCGTCTGAATATGAGTACGTCGTATTTTGAATATTTAAAATCTATTCCCTTAATTTTAACGTATTATCCTTACTTTTAATAACCAATAGACTATATTTTTTTAAACAAATAAATATATTAGAATTACTTTTTTAATTAAAAAATTATTATTCAAAAAACAAGTTTAAATATTTATGTTTCATTTTACATTTTTTTAACATATTTAATTATTATTTAAAGAAAATCTTTGACAGTGTCTGCAGAAAATAGCTATTTCATTTCTTTGATTAAGCAAATTTTTATTTTTCATAAACTTAATATATAATTTTTCATGTATGCACAAAGGACATAGGTCATTTAATAACCTACAAATTCTAGCTTTTGTTAGCAATTTCCATTTTACATTAGGTGTTTTATTGGTATCCTTTAAGTACCAGAAGTATTCAGATAGTTAAAATGCTTCTTGAACTCATGTCTTGTGCATCCAATGTAGACTTTAACTCTGTCTGTATCCTCAATAGATGAGATATTTCATTGTGACACAACTGGTTTAGTGCTACATTTAATAAGAGTACAATTTTGAGGATTTTTACATTTCTTTTTATTTTACTTTCTAATTTTTTCTGATTTTGGCCTAAGTGTTTACTCAAGATTGCATTATGCTTCTTTATAATAATTTCCAAGTTCTCTGTACAACTGTAACTTAATTTTAGGGTATCTATATTAAAAATTTTACTAAGTTTACTGTCTCTGGGAAGAACACCGGATTATAAATTTTACTGTTCTTTCCCATTATTTTAATATATATTTTTAATATATTAAATTCCCATTATTTTAATACATATGAAGAAATATCTGTTTTAAGGTGTGCTACATTTATGGGATAAAGTGCTCAATATAAGAGTTAGAGCGTATGAAAGTATAAATATAAAAGTGAACATTGAAGTCAACACTCAGAGGCGACAGGCTGTTTCATGCTAGACGCAATCGTCAGGCCGTCAAGCCATATATATATATATATATATATATATATATATATATATATATATATGAGGTAGCAATAAAGTCACTATACAGTTAATTATAACAAAAAAGCAAAGCATTAAAGCAGGTGGCTTGCAGCACGAGCAGTATCGGTAATTAATTTAATATTGTTTACCATAGCATTTTATTTTTATTAACCAGAACGATTTTAATAATAAATTTCTGGACTGTTGATTGATTGCTTTCTCTTAATTGTTATTATTAGTAACTGTAACAATTTAGTTCATGCCACATTGACTGAAAAACTCCTACAACAAAAAAATTCTCAAATTACTATATTAGTAAAAAAACGGACTCTCTTAAATTTTCCAAAACAAAGTCAACCTTAGCGTTGTGACGGCACGCTGCAAAATTTATTATCCGTTAACAATAACACATTTCTAAAGAAAAAAACATATTTCGATTAACATTTAATCTTTCATGTTCCGCTACTACCTGGATTGACTAAAAAAACAAATTAATTTCCCATGCTTGAGGATGGCTGTATGTACAGCTGAAAGTACTAGCAGAATAAAAAATGACCTTATACAACTTGAAGTTATTAAAAACAAGGATCATAACAGTCATGGACAGGTTCGTGGGTTAATGTAACTTTAGTAAATTTGTTTGCGAAGATGTTTTTCGCAATTTATATCTGTCATGGGTCCTTACCTATAACTACAGAATCAACTCTTCCTAACACTATGTATACTACGCCTCTCAAGAGAGGGGGTAGAATCGAGTCAAGCCGATAGTAGTTCACTCCAAACCAGACTGACAGTCATACTAACACCTTCCATATCTTGTATTATTATTTCGTGTAATATACCTTCGTTATTTCTACTCTTGTGTTCGTGTTGTTCTTCCTTGGTCCTAACCTGGACCAAAACAATATCATTAACTTTACTAATTTAATTTTTGTATGAATGATTCATGTAATATAACTTGAACTGCACCACATATTTGATATATATATATATATATATATATATATATATATATATTCTCTTCATAGTGTATGTGTATGTTATTATTTATTACCTGTTATTCAAACTGCCTTCTGTAATACAGATATCGGAATGGCGGTTTGGTATTGTGCCGATTCTTTCCAAGGGAGGAATTCTTCATGCGTATTTTGTTTTTTGTTTTTAATCTTTTCACCCAAGGGATGTCAATAAAGCCACTAAAACGAAATGGGTTTACAGAGTCTGAAAGAATATGAGAAAAAAAAAGCATTCCGAAGAAAGAAGAAAAAAGAACAGGAATTAAGGAGACTGGAGACAACGATTGGCATTGCATTTAGATATTTGAAGATAAAAATTGACTGCAAAGCAAGAAGCCGGAAGATAGTTCCACAAGCGAGAAGTGCGAGATAAGAAACTGTTAAGGAAAGGTACAGAAAAGCTACATTATGGTGGTAGGAAAGTGACTGAAGCCGAGACGCCAATAAGTGAATCTTATGTGAGAGAAGAAACTGTTAGCATAGAACTTACGGTTACATCTAGCCATTTCAACTGTAAAATGATGAGACCTTGCCACCAATCTAGGACTAAGCTTATATTCATAAAGTCTATGTACTATTGTGTAAAAAAGGAAAGGCACTGGAAATCTACGTTATGGCGGTGGGAATGTGACTGAACCCGATATGCCAGTACAGGACAGATAACACTGCAGATTCTTCTTCGTATTTCCTCAAGAATCTCTAAATACATAGTAGAAGAATCAGACATGATGTGGCGGCAATATTCAATGCATAGACGAATGGTAGACGAATGTGCAAGAAAGATTTTGGCGAGAAATATTTGTTAAGCATCTAAACTCAGATAAAGTTTGAAACTATTTCTATGTCGGTCTGTATATGCATTGCCATCATATCTCGGTTGGAGCTATGCAATCTTCATTTTACTAATCTTGATCGCGTTCAGTAGCGTTTATCCGACCTGAATTATTTTCCACACTACAACCCGTTCCCCAAAGTCGAAATGCCCCAAGACTATCTTTACCCGTAACGTTATTTACATAGAAAGCGGTCTGACCAGCTACATCCACTAGTTGTACTAGTTCAGACATTTGTAACAAACATGCCATACCATGAACACAGGAACGACCCATCCTCATTCCCTTCGTATTCCGTTTATAATGAAGAAGTTCCATTTGAGAAGCTTTTTGCAAAGAGCCCTTACTTTGTGGAACAGACTCCCGAGACAATGTTACCTTGACTACTGCAATCTTAACCTCTTCAAGACGAGATTCATCCATTATATATCCTAAATATCTGCACTTACTCCCAACCTCTTTCAATAATCTCACTTAGTAACCCTCTACTTTGATTGGCTCTTTGGCTTTATATAGAGTGAACATATGAAAAAACACTACTTTCTCACAATTTAGATTCATATAAATATAAAATACGTACAAAAAAGAAGAGTATTCATTTTGAAGAAAACAAAAAAAGCCTTTTTGAGCTCCAAGCTAAAATTCGACACAATTCTAACTGGTCAACATAAACAGCATTGAAATCGACAAAATGTTGGCGACGATAGACCAGCAAATTTATTTTATCACGAAGAAATATAGAGTCACGAATAATCGACCAACAACCGGTAGACATTTTCAACCTGGCCACTGTTGCTGCACACCTGCTGATGTTTACATGCATCCAGAGAAACAACTGTTAATAGGCAGGGGGGGGGAACATATCCATTGGATAGTAGGGATGTAACAAGACATCGGTACCTAACTGCACCTGCCTTTATCGAGCAGGAAGTGCTGCTTTACCCTGCAGCAACCTGGATGCATTTCGATTCACCGTTGCTCGCCAAAATATATGCAACACTTGATGAATCTGCTCCATTTCACATTAGGATTCTTCTGTGATGGGCAATTGATTGATTTTTTTTGTAATAATTTCACCCCAAGCAAGGCAGTACAGCCACTAAAATACAAGGGGTTACCGATTGTAAAAGAATAAATAAAAGAAAATATTATTGAGAGAGCAATAAAAGAAGAGAAAATTAAGAAGACAGAAGACAATGATTGACATTGCATTTCAATTTTTGAAGATCAAAGTTGACTAGAAGCGAGTTCCAAATGCAAGAAGTGCCTGAGAAGAAATTGTTAGCATAGAACTTACGGTTACATCTAGCCATTTCAACTGTAAAGTGATGTGACCTTGCCACCAATCTAGTACTGCATTTAAATTCATAAAGTCTATGTACCATAGTGAAAAGAAGAATTAGCATGAAATTATTTAAAGGAAAGGCAAAGAAAAGCTACATTATGGTGGTAGGAAAGTGACTGAAGCCAAGGTGCCAATAAGTGAATCTTATGCGAGAGAAGAAACTGTTAGTATAGAACTTACGGTTACATCTAGCTATTTCAACTGTAAAATGATGAGACCTTGCCGCCAATCGAGTATTGCGATTAAATGCATAGAGTCTATGTACCATAGAGAAAAGTTATTCAGGGCAATTACCATGAAAGTACTTATAGAAAATAGATGACAATTGACATTACATTTAATTTTTTTTAGATCAAGATTGGCTGGTAAGCAAAAGAGTTCTGCAAGAGAGAAGTGTACAAAACCTAAAAGGCCATAGACTTATTATAGAGTTGATGGGGATATGTGATGGAAATAATGGTCGAGCCTAGACTTGAACAGGTTATGATTGTAGGGATCAGGAAAGCATCATCTTGGGAGTCGGTTCACACTAAGAAGCGTTTCGAATTTATAACAAATTTGCTATATAAGCCAAGGAAATTGAATTCAGAATAGGCTGTGCTGGGGGTAGTTATGTTCAATACCGCAAATCGTACAAAACTAAGTTTCCCGCATGTGGTGTTCCCAAGCGGTCACCCATCTAGGTAATGACCAGTCTCGACCATGCTTAACTTCGGTGATCGTACGGGAACCGGTGTTTCAACGTGTGGACGTAAAGAAAGAAAGAAAGAAATATAGATAGATAGCTAGATATGCACAGACTGAGATAGATACCTACATAGCTAGTTAGCTAGCTAGCTAGATAGATAGATATACACAGGCTGAGATAGATAGCTAGCTAGCTAGATACATACATACATACATACATACATCACCCATCAACTATCTAGGTACTGACCAGGCTCGAAGTTGCTAAACTTCGGTGATTGGACGGGAAACGGTGTTTCAACGTGATAGGGCCCGAAGCTTATTTTGACGAAAGAGGAAACAAGTGTTTTGTTGGACTGGTTGATTTATTTTTTTTTTTTTATTCTTGTTTCAATTTTATGAGATTATAGAACAGGTTTCAAGTCCTGAGGGTCGTTAAACAAATGACGATTGACTGTATTTTTTTTTTATTTTCAGAAAGCTTTTCAATGTAGCCGACTAATTCAAAGAAAGAAAAATGAATGCAATCCTGTATGAGTTTTTTTAGGTCGACTGAGAAATCGACTTAGGAGAGAGTGAACATTATTATTGGGCGCCAGGAAAGTCTTAATTAAATGCAGAGAAGACAATTATATTGTGTGGAGACATTCAGTAATAAATAAATGTTCAGCAAAATAAAAGCTATCTCTTTTATTTCTTACTTTTATTACTACTTCATCGTACATGGTCTTATTTAGTTACCGGGCATTTTTTTTCTGCTTAAATGGAGCCAAAATCTATGTTCTATATCAATAGTATTCTCCATTATATATATATATATATATATATATATATATATATATATATATATATATATTTATTTAGGCAGCAATCCTTCTTTTATGCATTTTTCATTAAAACGACAGACAAGGTACTATGGTTAAGCTTTTTATTTAATTTTTCTTGTGTTCTGACAAGAGCTTTCTTTTCTGGACAAAGGTTGTGTAAGAACTGTCCGAATGTTTTATATTTCCGAGCGCTTTCGGCTATACCTTTAGCCATTATCAAGGGTGATTCGATTTTCAGCTTAGTTGAGTGTGTGCGTTCTGTGTATGTATCAGTGTGTGGTAGGGATGTTTTTAATTTCCGAATACGGTTAGCACATTGTGGCTTTGTTCATAGTTAATATTGTGCAAATACCCTAATATGTTTGATTACAAACAATTCGTAGTTGAGGCCAGGTATTTGCATAATTAAAATGACGTGCAAGTCTTAGAAGGTTATTTCAGTTATTTCAGAATAAATAATGTCAGTAACGGTGATTGCAGTGTATGCAACAATGTTGTACAGGTGTATGCAGCGTACGTCACAATGTGGTTACGGAGAATTCTAGGAGGCAGACGCTAAGATAACATTTCGATGTAATGACTATGCATACACCTGGGTCCCCCCTCACAATAATATAATTGGCTGGTGTCAGCCATAAATACAGACTGATGTGGAGGTACAGGAAGACGCTTATTGGCTACGCCTATAATCTTCGCCTATTGCCTACCACTACGACGAGGACCAGTCCATTACGGTTACCTGCTAGATTGTCCTACCCGGTTACAGTAGTTCAAAAACAATTTTGCTACTTCGAACAAATATATCCCGGGACATATCTCCTTTTCAGTTATGAAATGTGTGCCATCGAATGATGCTCATACGGCGAAGTGGACTGATCCTTCAATTATGCGTGTCATAGTGCTCTGAATGTATTTCCATGGCATATCTAACCTCCTGTGGCTAGAGTGTATGCCGCCCGGGCAGTTTGAAATATTATATATATATATATATATATATATATATATATATATATATATATATGTGTGTGTGTGTGTGTGTGTGTGTGTGTGTGTGTGTAATGAATATATCTTACTTTACGAAGGACAGCGTGCGGGAAACCTGCTAATATATATATATATATATATATATATATATATATATATATATATTTGCGGGGGTATGCTATATAAAGTACAATGTATGTGTGTCCAAGCTACTCCTCTGCTTCCACTGGTTCGATTTCAATGATACGTAGCTCTTTCAAAAGCCCTGGAAAGGTTAGGCGCCTGGAACGATTTTCCTTAAGCTCAGATTGCCAGATTAAGCGTTGTTAAAAATATATAGTAATATATTTTACTAGCCATTATCTTTGCTTTCATGGTTTAAGTAACTCTTATTTTCTTTTTGTATCCGAAATTGCAGCTAGCTTAAAATTTTAAGCTAACTTAGAAGCCGTCCTATCAGTGGGCCATTTAAGCTAGCTCCTGTGGAGGACTCTTGGTTTGGCCATCATCACAATATCTAGGGACGAGGAGATGCGATAGGCATCAATAAACTACAAAATAACTCAAAATTGATCGCTTCATTTAAGTATTGAATTAATTTCTAAGATTATCTTTTAAAAGTTCAAAAATAATTCTTCTGCTGCCACTTAATTTAAAGATGATTTGATGTACGTAGATCCTTATTTACGGTAAAAACAATTATTTTTATTTCGAGCGTAACAAAACTGGGGACAATTTATGAAATAAAATTAATATAGTGTAAAGAAAGGAAAACAGAAATTACAGTTACTTATACATTAAACAATTGAATAGTTAGAGAAACATAATAGTTAAGTAAAACCTATATGATGGAATCTATATGAATAAATGTGAAATTGGAGCTTAATTCTACTACGAATTCTGAGATTAAAAAGCCGCAGCTCTGCTTCATAGTAATTTGCAATTTACCCGACGCCCCCACACCACGAAGTCGCGTTGTGACACAAGGTCGGTTTAATGTGGGGAGCCCGAGCGCATGCACCCGGGTTAGGAACAAAAATTGACCGAGCCCACCAGCAACCTTTGAGGGAGTCGCCCCTGAGTGCACTCTGCCCAAGGATAGAGACGCAACTGAGAAATGATAAATAGTGTTCAAACCACTCAAGGGAGCAGTTGATTTACTTGACCCCATCGAGTCAGGTAGTGACACAAGGTCAGTTTTTAATGTGGCTCCCCAAGTGTCTTCACTGGTCGTAACTTGCCGAAGATGGTCAGAGCTGGTATAGGCTAGTCAAAGCTTGTCTGTATTTACTCGACTCCCCAGTGAGTCAGGGTGTGACACAAGGTCAGTTTTTAACGTGAGGCCCGAGTGTCTTCACTCGGGCCGCTTGTCTTAGCTGGTCATAGATTGTCCAAGCTGCTCTAAGCTAGTCGTAGCTGGTTCAAGCTAGTCATAGCTGTGAGACTACCACAGATCCCTGTGACCGGCAAGTACCAGAATGTGTATACCACTCGAGAGAACGGTTTACATTCTAACAACTGACACATTAAAAGCTCAAGATCCGTATTATATATTATCTACTTCTAGGCAATATCACTCTTCAGGTTTAACTAATTTGCATATTGATTTAAAAAAAAAGGTTATTTCACTAATTAACCGCCCTTCATTACTGTTCTTTTATTCGTGTATTGTTTTGATTTTCATACCAAAATTTTCATAATTTTAAATTATCAAGTTTCTAAATAATAAAAATTTATTAAACGATAGACATGAGTTAACGGTTTTTTGCCGACATCATCAAATTTTCGCATTTAATAATTAGCATAAAAAACAAACAAACAATAACATAATAAATACAAATTTTAAACTCCATAGTCTAAATATAAAGTTTAAATGACCTACCCAATAAAAAAAAAAGAAAACCCTTTATGAAGTCGTCAAAAAAACAAATCTTAGCGAATTATGACAGTTTATTTTTTTTTTATATATATACACAAAACACTTTCAGGAAAAAAAAAATTAAAAAAAAAAAAAAAATCTCCATAGACACTTACCCAGACTAGTCGATGTCATCTTCCGCTTTAAATTTGACACCCAACTTTTTTTTTTTTTTAAATAATTGCTCTAGCCGTTACCATAGTAATTTTAATTTTGATAATGAATATGCGTATAAAACGCGTAAATTTCAGGAATTAGTTATTCCAAAAAAAATTTCGCTTGAAGATGGAACAGACCATGGTACTTTAATTCAATTTAATTCAAATAATTATATTGAAGTTTTCGGTTCTTGTTTTGAAACATGAGAACTCTTATGTAGCGTGTTGGAATCATATTTTTGAATAAATAATTATATTTAGACTTTACTTTTGTATCGAACACTATTTTTTAAAAATAATAACGAAAATACTAAAGAACTTTGGATTATTTACCTAACGAGTTCTTTCCTATTTCTATATATTTTTACACACACACACACACACACACACATATATATATATATGTGTGTGTGTGTGTGTGTGTGTGTGTGTATAAACTATTAACAGGCCCAAAAGACGACAAATAGAGCAACACATTCACTTAATAGAAAAATAAATGAAATGTATATGAAAAATGAAGAAAAATAACTGAAATTTATATAAGAACAACCACAATGTGTCTCCCACACACAGTGGTGCTGCAGCAATAAAACAACGCATCGTGGGTCCGTTCACAGCTTTACAATTATCAGCAATGTTAAACAGCCCTGAATACATCATTGGATAATGTTTATTGTTTGACGAAGGTAAGATGTGCTTAAATACATATGACCTAGTGTAAGTTACTCGAAATCGAAAAGGTCCTTCAACTGTGAGTAGTGTCGCAATATTAAACCAATGTTTATTTAAATACAGCCTATATAGGAATTATACAGCAGACCCAAAAGTGCCACACACATAAAAGTGTCACTGGAGCGGACGCCCGCCTCCACCTCTATCTACGCTACCGCTTGCCTTCTCTAACGACCAGCCATTGTCGAGAAAAAAAGCATCATTTAATGATTGGGGGAGGGGTATTCGTGATAATTTGATTGTCGGGCTGGACATGACGAAACGAGAGTATCGTACAATATGGTCTTGGACGCCTGAGATGAAGTGACCCACTAACGACAAGGCATCAATCACCTGGCTGGTGTTTCGGAATAGCGTCTGTGTTATTCAATTTAACTGACAATTCTGTCAAAATGCGTTCTCTTTGGTGATTCGGAGAGGTCCGTTGGACACGCCTTC